CCCTATAATTTCCCAGTTAAACTACTATGACAGATGTTTTCACGGCATAAATAGCCGTAAAACACGCAAATACCACGTAAATAGTCGCAAATACGCTTTAAACCCTCTTAGCCACAGAGTACTGTACTTATAATAGAAAAACGCCTTGGAATGTCGCTACAAAGTCTACTAGCTCAAAACTGCTTTAGTCTGTGGCCTAAGGTTATCTGTGACTGACCTTGCGTGACAATGTTTAATGTAAAACTGTGGTGAGTTGGATAAGCCAGGTCAAAACGTGTCAACAAAATTATTCTGTTTTTTTTATAGAACTATTCCGTATCGAGTAAGCGAACGAGATTACAGTCACACAATAAAATACTTCTACTTTCAAATAATAAAACAGACATTAACAAACAGATATAAGAAATAAGGTAAATAGTTCTTCTAGGAGATCTAAGACTCAGGTTTTTCATTGGTAATATTTAAATATTTTGACTGGGGTTTGTTTTGGGGGCACAGCTAGTTTTAACTAGCTGTGCACGCGACTTCGTTCGCAAAAATTTGTTATTATGGGCATTAAAATTCGATTTTGCAAACATCCTCATCTTTAAAAATTATAACTGTTCCTTTCAAAAAAGAAAACATATAAAGTTGGATTCTACGCTTAAATATTAACTCATTTATCCGGAATTCGATTTTTCCCCAAAACGTTAGCGATTCTCATATCTGAGTTGCGACAATCGTTTTGCCCCTCGGCCTGTTTCGTTTATTGATAAAAAGAGAATTTGCAGCCCACCATACCGTTTGTTGGGGTCGAGGGGATTGCACGCCTGCAATATCTAGCTTTGATATTCGTAGTTATTTTTCGAAGCCGATGTGTTACACACACGCAAACACTCGTATACAGCAATAGATTCAATTTAACAAGTCTCATAAAATTGCTTACTATGTGAAATTAAAAGCTCAATGGAAAACGTAACTTTAGGAATCCCTCAATGAACCATCCTGGGGCCATTACTATTTCTTATCTATATAAATGATTTAAGCAAGGTTGCATTAAAGGGTGACCTAGCGTTGTATGTTGATGACACATGTCTCTTTTACTTTGGAGAAAATATACTTGATGTAGCGTCTCGAGCTCAGCTTGATCTTAACCTCCTAAAGGAATGGTTACTTAAAAAGAACATATTGAACATGTTAAATGCAAACTGGTATCACTTCTATTAGCACTGAGAAAAACGTCAAATTGCATACCCCACTCTGCTAAACTCATCATACATAACTCTTTAGTAAAATCTCATCTAGATTATATGATACAAATCTGGGGCTCAACTTTCAATATTCATTTAAATCCCCTCCAACGAACTCAAAATAAAATAATAAAAATTCTTTTCCATTACCAACATACAACGCCAACTAACGAAATATATTCAAAAAGTAAATATTTAAGAAAAATATTTAAGAAATCTTTATTTTTATTACACTTGCATCTTAATTCGAAGGATTATTAAAAAAACTCACTCCATTATTAAATTAACTTACAACAGTAAAACTTTAAACTTGAGAAACAAAGATGAAATTACGGCTTGAATTAATCAAGCCAAGAACAAACTGTGGCAAAAAAACATTACTATATGAAGGAGTACAATGATTTATCAGTTTACCTCAATGTATTCGCAAAGTTGATAGTTACTAAGTCTTTAAGACGGTGTTAAAAAAATATATAATCGAACAAAACCGCATGTAAATTGTTAATATTTAGGCAACCCGCGTATATGTATACGTAGTTTTTTGTTATGCAAATCGCATTGTAAATGCAAAAAAATCTTATGAGAAATAAGAGTTTTCAATACACCTAAATTATTTACCCTTGAAAAGAACAATACACACAAAAAAAAATAGCTATAAAATAATAATTCAAACGTCTCCAACGATTTATAAAATAGTTATTAGTATTATACGTTATTTTACTAAAATTAAAAATTCAATTATATTGCTGAGAGGCACCCAAACCATAGATCATCGCAGTCTTATTCATGAATTCAGTATAATGCATGCAATACATTTTACTTTACTACACATTTCTTTTACATAACAATACAATTACAATAATGTACAAACATTATAGTTTAAAAAATCAAACACGTTACCCCACATAATACACATCAATGTTCGTAAGTTATACCAAGTAATAATTACTTGGTTTCTAATCACATTGTCTAATCAATAAAAATAAATACAATAGTAACAAAAAATAATAAATGTCTTATTAATAAGAATAAATTAAGATTGATAACTTAAATTAATTCATTATATTGTACAGTACTTAGCACTCAAAGAAGCTGACAGCGTTAGAATTCTTAACCAATGCAAAAGTTTTGTAATTTAAGCATTATACAGAAGTGGCGTACTTGAAAACAATGAATAATTTAGTATTAAAAGCACTGTTTACTGTAGAACATTCAAGAATCAATAACTTAAGAGATCGATATTATCAAAGCCAATCAAAAATACGCTTCGTCTTGCTTGATATTACCACTTCATCTCAATTGAATTGTAAATATAAGAAACTAGCTGTGAAAGCGACTTCGTCCGCGTAGAATAGTTATTTTGGGCATCCAAATGTGTTCTTGCAAACCTCTTCTTTATCTTTAAACTCTATGCTGTTATGTCGCGTCCCGTCATTCCTGGATGTTGATTTTAAAAGATGGACATATAGTGTGGCAGACATTTTTTTGATCATTTAATTAAATGTTCTTCAACATATTTTTTGGGTATCTTGAACCGTTGTCACAGCGGACGCATCGAAAACCCACAAAGATGCATAATTTTCCCCGTTTTTTCCGCATTTCCCGCTGTCACTTCCCCCATATTAGTCACAGCGCGATGTTTTATAGCCTATAACCTTCCTCAATAAAAACCAGTAGTTCCTGAGATTAACACGTTCATACAAACAAACAACCAAACTCTTCAGCTTTATATATTGGTATAGATATTTAGTTGAAGTTGTAGCGGCTATACTCCCAAAATACTAGCTTTGACTCGTAGAGTACTTGCTGTATTTCATGTTTGCCGTCTGAATTACATTTATGGCATTCACCTACAAACCAAATAAGGTCACGTGTAAACGATGTCAAATCGTTCGTGCATATTGAAAAAAGGAAGGAAATGATCATACGTCAAAGCTAGGGATAGTCGTGTGGAAAAATTGTATTTTTCTTAGAGTTGGCATAAGCATGGCCGCTACATGACTCCTACGCCAGTTTGTCCTGTGTATGATCCGAAAGTTGGCACCTATCTTGGAAATATATTTTAGGGAAGCTTAGAGCTTTCCCAGTTGTATCGTCAATCCGAAAATGGAGCAAAACAGGTTGTAAATCAGACGATGATTTTTTTACGAACGGTTGATAAATTTTAAAACTTAAAATATGTAACTAATCCTATGTATTATTTGTTCATAAAACGAGTAGTAGAAATTAAATAAAACAATATTGACAGTTCAAAACCTGAAATTTATTAATTGATCAGTTAGGCGCCTTCTGTAACCAGATCGTTGTTAAAATTAAGTTAAAATCTACATTACATTTTTTAATCATTAAATCACTTTCTTTGAACATTAATAATGTTACTTTTTAAAGTACATATTATTCTACTGCTACTGTAAGACGTGTCAACTGTTTTGTTCTAAGTCAATTTACCGCACGTAACAAGCTTCTTAAAAGTTGTGGGGCTTGACAAGTAAGTTTATCACTACAAGATACTTCCATTAACAGTTTATATTGTGTGATCCCTTGCCAAGATGTGGTAAACAAAGTAAGAACCTTCGTTTCTAAGTGGAGGATCTAGTAAGACTAGTAAGTAACTTACAAAGTAAACAATGTCGATAAAAAGACGGACTATTAGGTACAGAACTTTAGACTATTTGGCTCATATTATTATACTATTAAACGACTTAGTCTACAGACTAGGCTAGAAAAAAAGGTTTATTACAACGTACACGTTGTAATATACCTTATTTTTTATGATCGTAAACAAAAAATCACAGTAGTCCTAAGAAATAAATAAAATGTTCATACTTTTTAGTAAAAGAAATGAAATGTAATTGTCGGTAGTTATAAAATATTTTTAGGAATATAGTTGGAAAATATAAATTTTTAAAATACATTAACAATACTTATTAATTTAATAAAAGAATTATTTATTTTATCATAATATAAACTGTATAGTATACTTTCACTTTACAAAAAGTGTATGGCCAAAAATTTAAATATAAGATATACTAGTGTCTTGTGATGTCAGTAAAACACGAGAATAAATACTTTGGTGCACGACCAAGGATATACTTACCCTAGAATGTTTATACCATTAGATTTATCACCTAATTCTCTTACATTTTTCCTTTTTTTTAATTTGATGATTGTGCGACAAATTTAAAATTTATGACATGACTTACTAACTGTAAAACTGCGCACTCATTGAAAAAACGAGTGAACTTTTAAGTTATCGTCACACGTCACCAACAGAAGCTTCTTTAAATAGTTAATAGATGTCGCATTTTTAAATGTAGTAATAATTCTAGATCTAATCTGTGACTTTATGACGTTGACATTAACAGTAAGTATTTTTTAAAGCGTCAATTGTCAACTGTCATTCATTTAATTGTCATAGATTTCGCTCAATACTGCGATACCTACGCAATATTTCGTTTTTCTTTTAGTCAGTTTACTTTGGAAATCGAGGTGTAGTGGTACATTTTATTAGAGACTTATTTTGCATGAAATGTTCGTTTAATTATCTAAAAATCCTCGAACTGCACATTTCAATTCAATACGAATATATATCTTCAAATATTACTACAAATTTAATAAAGTTTAGCTTACTGCAACAACTTCATACAGTATTCTAGCAAGCTGAGATTAAGTATGGAGAGTTTAATTAACATGTTTTCGCTATTATTACTTGTGTTTACTTTAAAAACTACTCAAGTATTTGCATATGAGGTGGATACATATGATTTTCTCATGCCCAACGTTTATCCTCACAGGGTAAGTTAACATGTTATAAAATTAATTCTATAGGGAAAGTAAGCTATTCGTAAAAGCTTCTTACTACTGTTCATATATTTCTGCAATTATTAAGTCAATTTTTTTTGTTACGCCTTGCAATAGCTCATTTTCGATGACTTGTTATTTAAGCCAAAACAATACAAGGCTATCAATCCTAAATTTAATGAATATTATTTTTTAAGCATGAAGCACTTAAGTGAAATCGATTTTTCACAATATGGGCCTTATCAGTGCTGAGATAAGGATTGAGTGCTTGATCAAAACCTCATTACTTAATAGATCAATACTGATTGTGATAGATATATTTTTATTTAAGTGTACTATACATTAATATAATAAATAATTCCATCAAAACATTAAGAACATAATCATGAAAAACATGCCCAATATAAAGAAGTAAACCCAGATATAATGATATGAAAGAACTAACTATGTAACTGATTTGCAAATAAACTGGAAGGTTTAAAAACTTTATTATTTTTTACATGTTATTGCACATGAAGGCACTAAGTATATAATTTAAAAATGGAAAATAAATCGATTTTTTTTTCAATTTATTTTCGATTTTTAAATTAAACTGGAAGGTTTAAACACAGTGAGTCTTGATGAATCCAAAATCCTCTGCACAGGAAAATCTATTTTTTTTCGGTTAAAGAGAGAAATAGGTGAAATAATTAGCAACTAATAGTAATAATAATAATGTCCCCCAACACTTAAATGAACGACTTTGTAATAGATACAATCAGCGATTTGATGAGGGTTGGTGATGTCATCAACTCGTTAAAAGCTTCCATGGGTTTTACTGCTTTTGAAGTAATCATGTGGGTAGATAATATCTAGTCAAATAATCAATACTTTATTGCTTCAGGATGAACTGTACCTCTGCACTCCTATTAGAATAGCGCCTAAGCAGAACTTTTATATTGGTAAGATAACATATAAAATATTTACTAAATTCGTTGGTATGAAACTTGGGGGACAGACTTGCCCACTATTATACTACCACTATTTGGTTGTTCTCTTTGAGTATTTAAATATCTCTTTTTAAGCTCAATAATCGTAGCAATTCAATAATTTTGAATTGTGTTGAAAAATTAACCTATATATAAGTTATTTACAGGAATATCACTTCAAATAAATCACACAGTGTCTGTCTTATGAGTCATTTATATTGATACAATTAATGTTAAGATAAAAGGGTAAATCCCCTTAGGCAACTTGTTGAGGTCACACTATTAAGCTGCAGACGATATGTTTAGACATTCTAGCAACAAAATAACATTGTTCAACTTGTGAGATACTTAATTTTTTATTTCTGTGAATTCATATATTTTTGCAGTGGGCTTCAAACCTAATGCTACTATGCACACTGCTCACCACATGCTCCTCTATGGATGTTCAGAGCCGGGATCTAATGACCCTGTTTGGTAAGTTAACTTAGTAGAGCTTAAGTATTGTATAATCATAAATTTGATCTAGATTTGATAAAAACCCATTGAAATACAGCAATTAACAAATAAACACTGTTTTTATTATTACTTAAATTTGAATCACTTTAAAATTATTTTATAAAGTACCAATGTGCTGAATAATGTAATTTTGATTGAACACAACAATATAAAAAATGTTTCAATGTAATGCAAATATTGAATCATAAAAGTGTAAGCCTGTTTCCCCTTTGTGGGGCATGGGGTGAAAACATATCTGGGTCCGTTTCATTGATCAGTAATCATAATTATATAATTTTCAATTTGAGTGTGTATATATTATATGTACACATAGTATATTATCAACATATGGATGTAGGATATGTACACATTATAAGGCCTTGACTCACACAGCTATTTGTTTGTTTACTATACAATAAAAATAATTGTCATTGTGACAGCAGCCTTATTCATATAAGGATGTTTACAAATACTAATGTAATGAAAAATAACTTACAAAGAAAAGTTTATATTTAATGTAGAATGTTAAATTAAGTTTATAAAATAATTATATTTTTTAGGAGCTGTGGAGAGATGCAGAGCAATATGATTGATAAAATGTATACCACAGCTAGCCCTTGTCGTTCTGGGTCGCAGGTACAATTTATAATAAGTATATCAAATTTAAAGTAAAAGAGTTTTGATCTAAGTTTTATTTCAATACGTAATTTATTTGGTAATTAGAAAATAATTACATACAGAAATACTTGGATTCTTAGCGCGAACTATATTACTTTTGATAATGAGAAATGTTAATTAAAATTACAATTATTTTCAAATGATAAAACTAAGTAAGTTCTTAGTACTGTTACGTTAATGACTGTTCCAGTTGTCTGTTGACATCATTTGTATTAATAAAAGTAGCTTAGAGTCCAGACACATATTTATGTCCGTTTCATTGATCCATTTTCCGTTTCCGTTCCAACTTTCGGACTAACCTGGAGTTACTGACTGCCTGAAACCCAAATGCGATTACAGTTCACGAATTTTCATGATGAGTCATTTATTGATTCGATGGGGACCCACGAAAAAGGACGGACAAAGATGATAATAGTATTAAGCTAATGTTATAAAAAAAAAAAACATTCAAAGCCCTAGTATTTTGTAACGAACTCGTTATAAAAACTAAAATGGCTCATGTAGTTTTATCAAAATATGTCGCATATTCCACAGATAGTCTACGCCTGGGCCCGTGATGCCCCAAGTTTGGAGTTGCCCCCTGAAGTGGGGTTCCTTCTTGGTCGTGACTCACCAATCAAGTATCTCGTTCTGCAGGTGCATTATATGTCTAAGTTTCCAGGTAAGATATAAGATTATTTTAATATATGGACACTATGCCCCAATATAACATCTAGTTTCTGGGCTTAGCCTAACATCTTTTACATACATTAGCGCCTTTAATAAAAAACTTTAACGGTTTGAAACGCGAAATATATTAGTTAAACTTATTTGAAAATTATTTTTACTACGGCCCGACGTTTCGGTATTTTGCAGCAGCAGTGGTCACGGGGTCAAAAGCTGTTATTTACATGTGTTCTACTCGCATAATTTCCAGACAGTATTGAACTAGTGCCGGCAATATATGACAACTTATCAGTGGGTTTGATTACCACCAGCTCTAACATGTTTATAAAAATATAATTTTTAAGTTTTGTTTATAGTTAACGTTAGTAGTGGTAACATTAAATAAAATACTGAAACTACGCATCAGTCATGTCGTGCCGTAGTTAAAATAGATTGTAAATAACTTAACTAATATATACCGCATTTCAAACCGTTAAAGGTGTTTTATTTAAATAAGCACAGTTAGTTGTATAAATGGTTTTCATTCATATACATTTTGTTATATAACTATGTAATCATATTTTTACAGAGGGTAAAACGGACAATTCTGGAGTATTCCTGAAATATACGCAAGAACCGTACGTATGAAATCAAAGTTGTCATTACTTTTAAAACAAAATATGGCATTACATTTCTTCAAATTAAATTTACCTTGTTTTTTAAATTATTTTTTTTAAATTGTTGTTATTTTTTTCGTAATTACATTTATTCACTTCCAGTTGAAAAATTGACTCGGTAGCTCAATTGGTTAGAGGCATTTTTTCAATTTATAATCGATTTTTAATTCATATAGATTTATTATTATTATACGATTTTAATGTGAACGTTTTCAGAATGCCTCGTCAGGCTGGTGTTCTTCTCCTGGGAACGAGCGGTGCTATCCGCCCTGACACCGTAGAGCACATGGAAACTGCATGCACCTTGAAAGAGGATAAAGTCATACATCCCTTCGCCTTCAGAACGCACACACACGGCTTAGGTAAGTATTTAAATATAAAGACTTGTTCATTATTGCATTATAACATCACTATGGATATAATAGACTTAAACTCTGATTAAATCGTGATGACTAGCATTGCATAAATCGAGAGAGGTCCTGGGTACGAATCCCGGGGAAACAATAGATAGTATCGGTCGGGCAAAACTGAAGTCTGATCAACTTGCATGTAAATAAAATCGAGCAGTGAAACGAACACGAAAATGTTTTCGCGCCATGCCATGATAAAATAATTATAAATTCCATATCTCTTATGTCCTATATTGTCTCATTAATATATCACACTATGTGTGTGATCTATTGATTTATTTTATAAACATAAAAACGCCTAAATTATTATTGACTTGTGCAGCACATGTCATTTATGTATCTATTACACTAATATACCATCAATAAAACACTTAAGGGTTTAAAACGCGGAATTTATTAAAAATTTATGTTAACAACGGCCCGACGTTTATTCAGGTATATCCGCCATATAATTCGTTTCTTAACCCGTTGAGTGTTTTATTTAAATGTATATAACTCGCGTAGATCACTACTCGTTGGTTTTGGGAAATTTGATCAGACTTCTATGCTCGGCCCGCCCGAAAAACATTATCAATTATCCGGGGTCCTGTATATTAATGTGGAATTGTTTCTTGTCTAATGCCATTAATTATGTGTCTTCTAAAGACGGTTTCTTATGCTTTACAGGAAAACTTGTGTCCGGCTACGTAGTCCGTAAATCGATGAAGGGTGACTCTTGGAACCTGATCGGCAGCAAGGATCCCCAACTGCCCCAAATGTTCTACCCCGTTCAGAACACTGACCCTATTAGCAAATTCGACATCCTGGCGGCGAGATGCGTAATGAACAACACTCGACATGAATTCGTAAAGATCGGGTAAGCATTTGTTACTAATTTATTCAATTCCTTTTTATTAAATTTTTGTTCTTGCATGGTGATCCCTACAGATAGACATATACATGTTCTTTCATACATATTTAAAAGGTATCTTGAATCTTTATCGTATGCAACGGAAACTCTCAATCTTCGCTCCTATAGTCGCAGCTTTGCCTTCCTTGATAAATGCTCTAACCAACACAAAGAGAATTTCTCGATTCAAACCAATTGTTCCCGAGATTAGCGCTTTCAAACAAACTCTTCAGCTTTTTAATATGAGCATAGACATTTAATACACCACTTTAACGGTTTAAAACGCGATATATATTAATTTAAACTAAAAAAAAGTGGTCCCCCAAATGATCGTGGCTGTTGCAAAGCATCCAAACCGTCGTGTTGTAGTTAAAATAGTTTCCAAAAAAGTTAAACTTATATATATCGCGTTTTAAACCGTTAAGGTATTTAATTTAAATTAATTCAAATACATAGTTCATTAAACGTGCAAATGTTTATTACAGAGCAACAAACAAGGACGAGATGTGCAACTTCTACCTAATGTATTGGGTGGAGAATGACTCGCCCCTCAAGACGAAGTACTGCTTCTCAGCTGGACCACCGTACTACTACTGGAATACAGCGCCGGAGAATTTCAACCGTATTCCAGATACCGATGACATGAATATCGTTTAGGACCCCTTCTGATATATGAACGAGGTTATTTTGACGGTAAAATTAATTTATTCTAGCCAATGGACTCTGAAATCTTATCTAAATAGATCTTACTGAGAGATTTACTGATAGGGGAATCCCTAAATCATGTTCGATGCTTAAGTCATCAAAAAAGTTTTATTTGTTACGTATTACTGGCGATTATTTAAGTTATTAATATTTATATTTCTCAAATATATACGTTATGTTTCATATAAATGTCCATTATGTCTGTACGTTGTCAATTTTTGGCCTGAAATGGGCATTCCCTTTTGCCAAAAAGATCTGCTAAGAGCCTACTAAAGTTTGTATTTGAAATTTCAGTGTATGTATATGTATCTTAATACATCGTGTCGCCATTTTGAAACTACATTAGTTATGTAAGCGTTCCTACATTATCATATTGGACCGAAATATAGTTTATTGGTTTGAAATATAATTTCAAATATATCTTAAATTATATAGAAGTGTTGATAGATTGTATCCTATATATCTGAATTTATTTAACATATAAGTTGTATGTTAGTAATCACATAAATTGTGCACAATTAAAAGGCATACAGTGTTTCACACTTGTCATATTAATTTTAACAGAATATTGCTGGATTGGTTCAGTAAAGTTTTAAAATCGGCAGAGCAGTTTAGGCCCAAGAAGCCTTTTACGTATTAACAAGAATCATGTAGCTACAGACACTAGAATAAATGACAACCATAGACATTATCTCAGGCTGTACCTCTTAAGTGTCATCGCTAAAGATCAGCACAGCAGCAAACTTTTGTTGCAGCAACAGCTGAGTGATTTCTTTCCACAAAATAGTGCTAACATTTTTCTTAGTGTTGATTGCAACCCAATTATTTATTTTTACATTATCGTATAATTATGTTGTGTTTTTGGTAAAGTAATTTATTTTAATTTAAACTTAACAACTGCAAAGTTCGTGTTGCCATTTACAAACATGTGTGGGGAAATTCAACTCTACCTTTACGCTATTTATTTTATATTAAATTTGATAACTGAATATTTAAAATTAAATAAAACACTATAACGGTTTAAAACGCGATATATGAGTAGTTAAAGTGTTTTATTTAAATGTGTACTACTCGCGTAAATTATAAACACTATTTAGTTAAAATTAATATGATAAGCCTAAAACAGCCTGTACAATTTCAACATACATTCCTATAAAATTAATTTGACGTACTAATCATAGTCGTAGATTACAAACGTGGCACAAATTATGTGTAGAATAAAACCTATATTGATTCCAAAAATATATTTTGTCAAAAATATTCCAAGTATAGCATTTGCAAGTAGAAAGACCCTATATTTGTATTAAAAATTCAAAGCGTATTTTTAATGAAATCTGACTGCCACCTATCAAGTAATATGAATGCAATTATTAACCCGTAGTTTATAGGTTAGTTATTAACATTCCATTATTTTATTTCTTACTATTTTTTTACTTAAGTTATAACTATACTGATGTTTTTAGATAGTATTGATGACTAATGCAATATGCAGTGTAAACTCTTTACAACATCATTATTTATAACGATAAGCTTTCTTACATAGAAAAGATCATAAATTCTATTGGTTCACCGTAAAAAGCTCTTAACTGGTGTTGTTTGCCGTTTATGCCAGTTATACACGTTGAAACAAAATATTTAACCGTTTAAACCCAAAATATATCACAGTTATCGTCGTAGTAAAAATAAATAATTAATATCTTTAAGTAATATATTTCGCGTTCGAATCGGTTAAAATAATTTAACTTATTTAATAAAATGTACATATGAATAAAACTCCACTAAACGGTAGTTCTCTAATACACAAGTAAGAGTTTACACTATATTTAAAACCATCAAATTTGTCTCCATTTACTTGTATGTAATTTTATAGTATTATCACATTCCTCTAGTCAAAATCTAACTTAAAGACTTATTTTTAATCAATGCTAACATAAATATATATTTAACTCAATTCTTAAGTTATCTTTGTAAAGATAACCTTAATATAAGGCTAACCAAACACTCACTGGACGTGAATAAAAATAAAACCGATTAAATGAGATCCACGACCATTTTGTGAAGCTAGAGTTTACAAAATGGCCGCAGATTGTAATCCAGAAAATATCGATTACTTCGGTCGAACAGTTTGAAAATTCAAATAGCTTCTTACATATGCATTTCTTTCTTCTATTCTTAGTTCGTTTATTATATTAATTGAGTCGAATGCGGACTTCTGCGCCGACGCAGGCAGTTGTGATACTTGTATATTTTTCATTAAACTTTATTAGTTCGTTTATCGTTCAATATTTTTTGGATTAGACAGTGAGTGTTTGACCTTAGTGTATATCTATCATAGATTTTGAATTCAATTCGCTTCAAAGTCTGAAATTGCAAGTCTGAATTGACATTATCACTATACAAACTTCAAGCAGATATTTATATAAATGAATATGAAATCTTTAACCTATCACATAATTCAAAGAGATTATTTCTAAGGATATTTTACGATAAATGTATTCTAATATACTGTTTAACACTTATAAAAACGACCTATGGAACGGAAACTGGACTTCGATCTTTGTAAATAATATTAGTGATTAGTTTTTATTCATCTGTTTTTGTCTTGGACAAAAGCATCTGAATGACTATATTATATGTTTTATCTATGTGTCCTTACCTACATATAGACATTATGACTGAAATCCTATATTTTTCTGGCATTATTGTTATTTTTAACTTATTGATCTGAATTTTATTATTTACTATCGTCTTTAATTTTTAGACGTCCCCATAGAGTATATATGTACTATATAATGTATACCTTATAGTTTGCTAATAGTCATTTTCAAGTTAGGCGAATAATTCGAATTTTAATCCGTTTACATACGATCTGCTACTTATTTACATGATTACTTATTGATTTTATACTTTGTATTGTGATTTTTCTTAACATATTATGTCTTTTATATACGTATGTATGTATATCAATAAATTGCGACTAAACTGTCTTTCCTACGCGTGAACCTCAAGTTTATGTAGGTATTACTGTGTATATGTGAAAATGTAGAAATAAAGGCGTATATTTTAAAAACATCGTTTATTTTCAATTATAATTTCACAAACTATAAAAAACATTACACCCAGTTAATGGAGCTATTAACAAAATCATAAATACGACGAAACAGATGGCGCTAGCTTAGCAGTTTTCACTTTGATATTAGGGACACCCTCCATCTTCAGTTCGTGCCCGGCTGCTGCAGAGCTACCGGAGCGTCGGGCTTTAGATGCTTATTATGCTCAACAACAATACCTGATATAAACAGAGAATTATTTTTAGAAGGGATAGTCATTAGTAATTTTCACTAATTAATCAATAATAAGTACTTAGTTATTAATTACAGTTAAGCAATCAGCTCTTTAGTGTACAACTTTACTTAAATAAAACAATTTTAACGGCTTAAATTACATTTAAAATTTGTAAAAAATGAAACATAAGATAATAATCTTAGTATTTAAACCGTTAAAACTTAAAAACCTAATATACAAACTATAGAATTTATTTTCGATTTTTAAATTATATAGTGCCTTCATGTGAAAAATATTAATGTTTTCAAACGTTATAACTTTGTAATTTCATCTTCAATGATTTCTTAAGCTGCAAAGCATAAGACATTGAGCCTTAATACGCAAGTGTTAAGGTTGAAATTACATTGCGCGATAGGTGCAAGTATCAATAACTTGAAAAAAATTCGACGATGAGGTGTAGGACTCGGTAGCTCAATTGGTAGAGCAACAGCACGGAAAGCTGACGATGCCGGTTCAAGTCCTGCCCGAGTCGAACATTTTTTAATATTTTCGATTTTTAAATTATATAGAAATTTACTCGAACCCCTTTTAAGGAAAAGACAGGACTCCAAACTAACAGCGTACCATTGCGTAACATCTGAGCTACGGTGGTACATTTTACACGTATCTGCACTGTAAAAAATTATTAACATTCAAGCGTGGGTACATACAATATTATTTCCACGTAGATGACATAACGGGGAGTCGAGTGGTGTGGGGATCTGGGGGTGTTAACCAGTGCAGGGCATTGGATGGCACGTTTGCCCCCCAGCTGAGAGTCTCCTGCTATGTGTCGCTGCGTGGGGCAGACCAACAGGTACTGAGATTTTAATGCCAACAATGGTATGGTGGCAATATAACACAATTTTTTTCTAATTCAGAAGTTCCCTCATGTGGATAGATACACTGATTAAGATCAACTTAACACACTAATGCAACTAAAAGATGTACTTTTTTATTTTAATTTAAATAAAAACACTTGCGTGTATGTATAAATAGGTAAAAATTATTCGACAAGCCCTGTGGATGTGATTTATATAATGCCATCATGTGAAAAATATGTTAACGTTTTTTAAAAGGGTCAAAAATTTACGACGTAGAATGATCTAAAAGTGACAAGAAACTGAGTAAGAACTGACTAAGAACTTCTTTTTGTAAAGTAAACAAAATATTTTTTCTTTGAGGCTTGTCTTTTAAGGCTAGTTTATGGTATTTTTTTATCTATATCTGTATCTAGTGTTGATTGTAGTTTACGTGAGTAGTTTTTAGGACCCAGCTAGTATCTCCAAATACTAACTACGCGAAAACAGATGGCACTAGTGTATCAGATTTAGCTTTGACATTAGGGACACCTATCATCTTTAGTCCTTCCGTAGGACGCCGGGCAGCAATTAAAATATATTGAAACTACGTTAATTAATACATTCCGCTTAATTTAAAAAATAAAACACTTTAACGGTTTAAAACGCGATATATTAGTTAAACTTATTTGAAAATGATGTTTAACTTCGTCCCGACGTTTCGGATGCTTTACAGCAGCCGTGGTCACGGGGAGACAAATAAGTTTAACTAATATATCACGGTTTAAACCGTTAAAGTGTTTTATCTAAATGTGTACTACTCGCGTAAACTATAGACAGTATTTTAAGTTGTTTTATTTAAATATATATGTATTATCAAGCTTTACATATATCTACTCCTAAAGAATAACTGCTTTTACTGTATCATTTATTCTTCTCTTCAGAGGTTTTGGCACAGCTACGTTTAGTTTTTTTATGCTAGACGAAGATATGAGAAGGCATGAGAAGGAGATATCCCAGCTATTTGGCTTTGCATATTTCGAAATTAGACTGAAACTGTAACGCAATAAGATTTCATGGCTTTATTATCTGTGGACATTATTTTAATTAATGACTAAAAGTTTGACTTTATTTATATTTTTTTATGCTGTTGTTCTATAAGTATTTTTTGGGCAGTTAAAAGTTCTCTTATTATTTCTGTGTACACAAGAACTGAAGGCTTAAATTTTGTGCCACCTTCGTTTGTTGTTCACGTAAGGGTTATTTTGTATCCAGCCACATAATACCTTGCTGTTTCTCATACCCTTTGGCTTCAAGCCACATAATGAGTTCAATTACGCAGCCGTACCGTGTTAGATTACGTCACAGTAAATCGTCTTTCCTACAACACTTTACACGTAATCCTATAAGCCAATAAGGCGTGCATACGTTCACAGGCGCCGATAAATTATATATGTCGGACAATTATTGCGAATATTATATAATTACTAGCTGACCCGGCAAACGTTACTAAAATGGCTATTAAAAAATAAGGGTTGAAAATTGAGGATTGTAATTATTTTTGTATGTTGTATCATAAATAAATTAGAAATTTTTGAATTTCTAAACATTTAGGGGGATGAAAAATAGATGTTAGCCGATTCTCATAGATACCGGATAAACATAAAAAAATTCATCAAAATCGGTCAAGCCGTTTCGGAGGAGCATGCCAACTGACAAAAACTGTGACACGAGAATTTTATATATTAGATGAAAGCAATTCTAATGTTTACTTTAAGTTTTCTTGTTTGAAAACTTTATTATGTACACGATTGCATTAAATAAATTAAAAATCAATTTTGACGTGTTCGACACGGTAGCTCAATTGGTTAGAGCACCATGGATAGCTGTAGTGTCAAATTCCGCCGTGTCATCTTGTTGTTGTAATGTTTTTCAATCGCAATAGATTTTTAAATTAAATATGAATCATTGCTTAGTATGTTTGCTTCCATGAAATTCCTATTCTTGTACCTCGGACATGCAGGATTTCTTCACCTGTTTGATTGATCGATTTTATTTATAGAAAAGTATTTGATGTTAATATTATGGTTTATAATTAAGAAAGTTTGCCTGGGATTCGAAGTGGGGACCAGTAATTAACTCAAAAAAGAAAAGCCAAGAAATTCAAGATTTGATTACTGAGTTCAGTTAGTCTATGTACAATTTCGATAAGATTTTTCTATTTAAATAACATTATAACAACAAGGAACATAAATATATAAGCGCAAATGTGTGTGTGTCTATATATATATATATATATATATCATGAGTATATAAGAATAGAATTTCTGTATGGGTGTGTGTGTGTTATTTGAATTATGGCTCTATCCTTAGATTCATTCCTCGACTAGGCAAAGATTGACCTCTTGCCAACAAGAAGATATTTAAATTAACATTAAAACCGATTGAGGGGTTATATTTACAACCGTTCTTAAAATACTATAAAAGCAAGTAATATGTATGGTAAGAATATTAGACGACTGAAGTAATTCACACGGTATTGTTTGGTGCAATTCATAGAATGATTACCACCGAAATTATATATTAAAATTGTTACGATATTAATTCAATTTATAAATCACATCAATATAATTGTGTTTAACTTAGTTTAGTTTAGTTTTATCGAGTTTAGTAAATATAATACGCGAATTAATCAGTCGTTATTCAAATATCTCTACACTACACTTGTCTTATATTACATCTTACACGATATTGTCTTTATTCTCTTTGATATTTGAATAAATTGATTTCTATCTTTATAAGTAAAAGGTCGGTAGTGATTTCTTCATAAGCATAACAATCTAAATAAAACACTTTAACGGTTTAAAACGCGATATATTAGTTAAACTTATTTGGAAATGATTTTTAACTTCGGCCCGACGTTTCGGATGCTTTTCAGCAGTCATTTCCAAATAAGTTTAACTAATATATCGCGTTTTAAACCGTTAAGTGTTTTATTTAAATGTGTTACTCCTAAATATGACATATTTAAGCATAAGATCGATAAACTTTACTTAATGTTATTACCACTACAAAAAAGCAGTACCTTTACCAGCAAACGCGAAGACATCGTCAGTAAGGACCCGGCCAGTATTGCCCAATACCAACTCCGACGGAACAGATGGCACTGGCGTAGCAGTTTATTACTTTGACTTTATAGATACCCTCCATCTGCAGTTTCTCTGTGACCACGGCTGCTACAAAGCATCCGAAACGTCGGGCCGTAGTTTAAATCATTGGTGGTCCAGCTGAGAAGCAGTACTTCATCTTGACGGGCGAGTCATTGTCCAGCTAATACACTAGGTAGAAGTTGAACATCTCGTCCCTGTTCGTTGCTCTGTAATCACAATTTCTAGGTTTAACTATGTATAGTTTATTAAATTAAATACTTTAACGGTTGACACGATATATATTAGTTAAACATATTTGAAAATTATTTTATCTAGGGCCCGACGTTTCGGATGCTTTACAGCAGCCATGTGATCATGCCAGTTTAACTAATATATATCGCGTTTGAAACCATTAAAGTGTTGTAGTAAACTACAGACAGTAACTTCTCAGCGAAATTAGATTATATTTGTTCATAGACCACTGTTTGTTTAAAATCGCGCGTCGCTTCTAACAAACGGTCCATCTACCAATTAATTAAGCAACATTGTAGAAGAGGAATTATTCATTTGTGTAGTTTAACGCTAGAATTTTTAATTGGGATCAATAGTGAAAGGAGTCATTTCCGACAAAAGGCATAATTTTGCTCTATTTGTTTAAAGAGGGAAATACAGACTATTAAAAAACATACTTTCGTCTAAAAATTTTGATAAATTATGAAAATATATAGATTAAAAATCAAACTAAATGTGTTACCGAATTGGTTAGGCAACAGCTCAGAACGCCGACAATGCGGATTCAAGTCTTGCAAGGGTCAAAAATTTTTCGACTTAATTTCGATTTATAATCTATACATAATAATGCCATCTTGTGCAACATGTAAAAAATTAATAAAATTTTCAAAAATTAAGAAACTGATAATTATATGCTAACAAACAAATCTAGACAAGTTTCCTACTTGGGCTTCTTTAGGAAGAATACTTTTGTTGAAAGTTACCTTTAATTTCGTCCCAGTTGGTCGAATTTCGACATTTCGCAAAGTTGATGTTTGTAGTATTTCTTAAAGTTTGTGCGGCTGAAAGCTGAAACTTCGTTTGCGTTTTCCCCCTGTATGTTGAGGTTGGGTAATGCATTATAACGTCCCCGTGATTATTCTAATACTCTCATGAAAAGTAGTCAGCAATTATTAAAACTAAATAAATACTTCGAATAAATTGTAGTTTTTAGGACGGATTTGTTGGTAGCATTGTAGGTTGAAAGCATTGCGCGAGAGATTTTTTTTTTTGGTAAACCATCGGATACAGTTACCTAGTATTTTTTAATTAAATGATATAATTTAGACCGCAGCTTTGGATATTCGGTCATCTTTATTGAACTTCGCGGCTTTTTCAACCGTGGACGGTGGTTCGTCACCCGGACGGAATTTCAATATTTCTGCCACCCATTTAATGTCCAGATTTCCAGACGAAGTCCAATATGTTTCAGAATTATGAATTGAATAGAAAAATGTTTCACCCGGTGGGGATCGAACCCGCTGACTATTAGCCGTAGATTGCTACCATTACACGAGCCCATCGTATTCAAGACCTAGTTCGCCTCAAGCGGTCGTCATTGTCGAATTATTTAATTTGTAGACGAGCATCCAGATTTAGGCGCACAAAAATGTCCGTACATGCGTTCCTCCGTACCGCAGTTCACTATGTTCGCGGAACGAAGGCTCGGAACACGCGTCACATCAGCTGTGGGGTCAAGGTCATCCGGGTCAATGCTGAGCCTGCCCGGGTGGCGCGTAGGCGTCGCCATGGCAACCGGCCCACGCCACCTACGTACCCAGGTAGTCAATCAATTACCGCGAACGCTATCTAATGAGATGTAATTTAATAAAATCATGTACTGGTGCGATGCCATTACACTCTGATACGTTTTTTTATTTTAATCTCGTTTTAGCGTGTTAATTTATGAATTTTATAGAGCTCGCTAACGTATAGCGATGGTTGGCTAATAATCAACGTGTTTTTTATCAATTTCTGAAACATGTTGGACTTTATTTGAAAATCTGCATATTAAATGGCTTTCGTTCAGATCACATCATGGCTTTCATGGCACATTCATGACTGATTTCCGAATATCCATTGCAAAAGAAAGACAGCTCATCTTTTTGAGATGGCTGGTAATACTTCACCTTTCATCAATTTTTTATTTAGCTTATATCGATATGTTTAACTGTTCAAACATTTGTAATAATAATTCGATTTCTAGTATTGTCTACAGTTATACATTTTTAACTGCTAAAAACGCGAAATATCTTACTTAATTTATTTTCTATTTATTGGAAAAACGACCCGACGTTTCGGATACTTTTCATTAGAACGTGTTTTCATGGTTGTATAGGGTGGCATATTTTCTGTAAAACTGACTCATTTATAGTGCTATATGCATTGAAATTGTATATTCAGGTGTTTCAAAGGCCAATGAATAACAATCAGTTTGTATGAATCATTTTCATAATGTTGCCAGCGTTTATGCTATTACTTTACTTATCTTTGCTTTTAAGTAAAAAAGCTTCGATAATTTTATAAAACGAAACTTCCTGTCGCGTCTCAAATTTTGATTAATTCGCTCTTCAAAATTACAAAATTTTTAAGCCTGTTTATAAGTTATAAAATTTTTTTATACGTATAACATATCATGTTTCAAACTAGACTATAAGAATTATTTATTTATATATGAAGGATAAATTACGTGTCTAAGATTCGAGGAAGTATTTTTAAAGTTTTGATTTTGAAATATAAAACACTTTTAACGGCTTAATACAATTATTTAATTTAAGTGTGTGGTACTCGCTTATAATACAGACAAAACTTAACTAATATTTTATTATTATCGTTTTTAAAAATTCAGTAATTTGCAAGATACTTTACGGTATCAATCAGGTTTTTGAATGTTTGATGGCAACGATATGGCTACTAAGAAGCGGGTCGCGAGTTCGATTCCGTCCGGATCGGTATGTTTTTTAATATCTAATATATTTTTTGTGATATTTGTTAAACTTTGACTGGAAAATTTGGATATTAAATAAGTGTTAGGAATAGCGAATTTTCATCAGTGTCCATAGCTTTTTTAGCCAGCCTTTAGTATCTCCAATAAGCCTGTGACTATGGATTCCGAATGTTTAGAGCCAAAATGGGGCTACGTATATGAAATGTCAATGGCGAGGGATTTTTACCTTCCATCAACTGAACCCGACGCTTGTCAATCATCGTCTGTAATAAAGGCAGCGTTCCGTTGCCTTTATCCCAAGAAACCGCAGCGTCGGGTCAACCTGTTATGAACGAACGATAAAGCTTGACCCTTTCAAAACAATAAAAGCCCGTTCTAGTTAAATGATAAAGGCTAGATCACACGCGCACTGAACAACGACGCGTTGACCCGTGTAGCCATTTCCACGGTGTGCGCTCCACGCTCCGCAGCGTCCGTGAAAACCTCTACGCGAAGTAGTTATTTATATATTGAAGGTTAACAATTAGTCAATCCTTTGGCATCATCGCCGCTCAATGATATGAGGCTGGAGCCAGAGTGGCCTAATAACAAAAAACATGATTTTCAATAAGGAGGAATGAATTGGTATTATTACTTGTGTTAAAAATGACGTTAACAATTTTAAATCACTGCGCTCTTGTAGATTAACAGTATTAGACTGTTAAAATTTAAATAATTCAAGTCATAATTGCAGTTAGGCTACTGCCTCTAGCGACCTCATAAACTTTTTCTGAAACATGTTGGACTTCTTTTGGAAATCTGGATATTAGTTAAACACTCAGAAAAAGCTGTTAGTTAGATTTCCGAATATACAAAGCGAAAAAAGGTAGACAGCGTATTCTCTTTAGATGCTATAGGCGTATATCACCTACCATCAAATGAACTCCAAGTTTGTCTGTCCTTCTCTATAATAAGAAAGACGTTAAGAAGATTACATTATTCCATAGGTAGAAGGTACGATTTCCTTTAATCGCTCTATTAGGTGCATTCATTTAATCACCTACACTTAAGATCAGTATCTTGAGAGTCAGCCGACAAAGCCGAGAGTGGCGCCAGTACGCACCTACAGAATCTTGAGATTTCACTTAGAAAGCTATTGAAATGTGAACAGACACTTTCGAGTGTTTCGATTCGGTGTAATAAAACCTCTTGGTTATGGCCTGTATTTGACGTAGTAAACACCATATCTTTACAAATATTATTGGCAAGGAAGTGTCTTTTAGCATTCCGTCCTTTTCATAGTCCGTCTATTCATACTTTAGCGAAAACATTTAACAATGTTCAAAGGAAAGTCTTTTAACGGATTGAAACGCGAATGATAATAGCTGTGGTCACGGAAGGACTTTGATTGCTCGAGAGCATACATCGAAGTTAATTTAAATTGTAAAATATTATTTAAATTGTGTTGTGTTAAAGTGTTTATTATTGCAATAAAATTATTTACGCTCGAATATAGTGACTACGGCTGCTGCAAAACATTCGAAAGAGGCGAGCCGTAGTTAAAATAAATTGTAAATTTATTAGATACTGTCTATATTTTACGCGAGTAGTACACATTTAGATAAAACACTTTAACGGTTTAAATCGGAAATATTAGTTAAACTTATTTGAAAATGATTTTTAACGTCGGCCCGACGTTTCTCTCCTTGACCACGGCTGCTGCAAAGCATCCGAAACGTCGGGCCGAAGTTAAAAATCATTTTCAAATAAGTTTAACTAATATGTCGCGTTTTACGTTAAAGTGTTTTATTTAAATGTAAATTTATTAACAATTCACAACGTTTAACCGTTTAAAAGTGTTTGTTTTTTAATGCGTAATACTCGCGTAAACTATAGACAATACTTAATTTTCAAAGAAGTTTAAATATACGAAAGATTCGTATTTGTACAAGAAAAATCGACCTGCTATTGCCATTATTTTTAATTCCATGCTATAGAGACCATAAAGCCTAGCTCTTTATACAACATCTGTGTTGCACATCCCTAGGTACAAATCGATACTGCACAAATGGAAGTGCGTAGTAACCTGCTCCAAGAACACCTATATATTTTACTTCTTTGCCACATCATACATGAAATCCCATTTTTTCTATTTGAAGAGTGGTGTGAAACTCTGTCACCAGTTTGATGATGACCAGGGTAGCTGGTGAGGCGTCTTCTCTCAACGAATTATTATTAATACTAGCTGTGTCCGCGACTTCGTTCGCGTGGAATAGTGACTCTCGAATTTCCATACAAACTGTCACCTTTTAACTCCTTACAACCCCCCATTTCGCAATAAAAATTAGCCTATGTCCTCTCTCAGGGTCTAGACCACCTGTGTACCAAATTTCATTCAAATCCATTCAGTAGTTTTGGCGTGAAAGAGTAACAGACAGACAGATAGAGTTACTTTTGCATTTACTTCGCATTTCGCATTTAGAGTAAGGATTACGTAGAATCAAACCTACGACCTGTGATTAATGCAAGTTAACCGTTGAGCCACAGTGAACTATTGAGGCAGTTGATCGATAAGCACTCAGTAAACACGAAATCAGATCAGTAAATCTTAATCTCTTTGTAAATAGAACTTTCTATCCCTCCGAAGTAATTCACTTGTAACCTAACACCTGCTTTTGACGGCTTATAAGAACCTACATCACGTTCGCCCACACATGTAGGCTTCCGAAATTAATTAAACCTCAAGTACATTTCAAAAAGCGTCTTGGACCACACAAGACCATACCCAAAAATATATATGTATTTTTTTTTAATTTTATTTTTACATATATCCATTCTCATAAGACAGGATCGAATGCGACAGTGACGGGATGATCTTAACAACAAAATAATATGAACAATACTAGATTTCGTAACTCAAAACGTTAATGTATTTGTGAGTTTACCCCAAGGACTGTTAATAATTCAAAATAATTTAGATCATTTTCAGAAAGACATTATGTGTTTAGATACAAGACTAAATGAGATATAAGAACTATCAAATAAAACACTTTCAGGCCCTGAAAGTAATTTATTCATAAAAAACTTACTGTAATTTGGTAGGTTAGGATTATGCTGTAAAGGTAGAATTAAAGCCAGAGACGGATTAAAGAATCACTTAAATTCAATTAATGATTGAATTTAAGTGATTCTTGCGTCTTAAGTTGAAAGATACCGACTCGACGTTAACGTTTTAACTTATATATTTTGGGTTATTATCCGTTAAAAGTATTTTATTTAAATGTGTTCTAATATAAACTACAATACAAAATAAGAAATACTTATGACAAGACATATTAATTTGATTTGAATTCATATGATAATTATTAAGTTGCACTTACAGACTGTAATTGTTAAAAAGGCCATTATCTACATTTTATTTTAGTCGTGATTTTTTTATGGTAGATACCCAATCTACTTAGACAAGTAGGACCGTAGCTAAATTACAAATTACATAAAGATAAGTTTGACATAAAAAATGTATGTATGTATGTACATACACGTTCGTAAATCACCCATCCATCTATGAACTTCGCTACCGTTTGCAGTTGTTTGTGCCATTAATTCCTATGGCTTTATGCCAACTTGGTCAATTCTTTATTACACGAGCGGGTCTCGAATCCACAACCACAACGTCTGTTGCTCTATCAACTATTATAAGTGTTTGTTATATACATGTGTAAATTATAGTAATTCAAAAATAATTTCTATGCTAACAATTAACACAAATACTGTCATTAGTTGAAAACACACTTCTTTCACTTAATTAAACGCCAGCGATATTTTCGCAATAACAATGACATATTTAATAAAGAAATATCTCTTCAAGAATTTTCTATAATGCTATG